GAGCCTGGGCTGGCTTTGCCAAATGGCTTAACGCTAGTAAACTATTGCTGTGTGTACCTGATCGGTTGACCAGATAGCTTAAACTAGTGACCTGAGTTAAATGTGTTTCTGGGCTATGTGTGTCATTAACAAACAGGAATCATACTGTAGACTGATAGATGAAGTAACCCCCAGCAACCACCTGACTCAGGCTACGGCGGCCTGAGCAAATAGTTTTAAATTTGTCATTCAAGAGTTGTAATTTTTTTTTCTCCATTAACGTTCATCAACGTTAATGCAATGGAAATACTTACCTTTAACTTATTAATAAGCTAACAAAATATTTGGCGAAAGAATAAATCACTGTACACCCTGTAGTTGTGGTGTCATATGCCCAGGACTGATTCTGCCTCAGAAGCAGCTGCTCATTTATTTTGATAATTTAAAATATTTATATTGCATATTAAAGTAAGTAAAGTGATGTGACATGTGGCCAAGTATAGTGACCCATACTCAGAATTAGTGCTCTGCATTTATCCCATCCAAAGTGCACACACACAGCAGTGAACACACACACACACCCAGATAGCTTAAACTAGTGACCTGAGTTAAATGTGTTTCTGGGCTAATGGAGCCCAGATAAATTAACTAGTGGCTTAACAATGTGAACCTGGGTGCTGTACCCTTAGGTTTATTTAACTAATGACCTAAATAACTATGTTTGTCTGAGCCAATAGCTCAAACTTACCTAGGTAGAAATGCGCACTGTGTGTGTCATTAACAAACAGGAATCATACTGTAGACTGATAGATGAAGTAACCCCCAGCAACCACCTGACTCAGGCTACGGCGGCCTGAGCAAATAGTTTTAAATTTGTCATTCAAGAGTTGTAATTTTTTTTTCTCTCCATTAACGTTCATCATCGTTACTGCAATGGAAATACGTACCTTTAACTTATTAATAAGCTAACAAAATATTTGGCGAAATAATAGTCCAAGATGGCCTTGAGCAGGACACTACAGTGACTATATTTAAATGCAGTTGTCTGCTTTTATATTAATTGTGTCCGAATTAAAATTCGCAATATAGAAATGCTGTGCATGCTGCTGCTGAGAAAAATCTCTATGACTGAATACCTATGCAAGCTGCTGTTACTGCACAAGAGACTGAACTGCTGAGAGCTCCATTAATTAGGCATACAAGTAGCTAGGCGAATGCCTATTTTACTCTAACATGGTGTCTACGCCAGACACGACCGGCACAATATGACCAAATCAGTTGACCCGTAACGATAGGTAAAGCGGTCCGCAATGTATGCAGTGCGATACGGCCAACGCAACAAAACTTCTGCTACTGCTGCTATTGATAATATTCACTAACA